CTGCCTCAGCCTCCCTAGTAGTTGGGATTACAGGTATGTGCCACCACGCCCGGCTAATTTTTGTATTTTTAGTACAGACAGGGTTTCACCATGTTGGTCACGCTGTTCTTGAACTCCTGACCTCAGGTGATCCACCCGCCTCAGCCTCCCAAAGTGCTGGGATTACAGGTGTGAGCCATAGTGCCCAGCCAGTAAACTCCCTTTAAAAAAGCGAACTCTCGGCTGGGCATGGTGGCTCACGCCTGTAATTCCAGCACTTTGGGAGGCCAGGGTGGGCAGATCACAAGGTCAGGAGTTTGAGACCAGACTGGCCAACATAGTGAAACCCTGTCTCTACTAAAAATACAAAAATTAGCTGGGCATGGTGACAGATGTCTGTAATCCCAGGTACTCGGGAGGCTGAGGCAGGAGAATCACTTGAACCCAGGAGATGGAGGTTGCGGTGAGCTGAGATCATGCCATTGCACCCCAGCCTGGGCAACAAGAGCAAAATTCTGCCTCAAAAAAAAAAACAAACAAAAAAATCCCCAAAAAACGAACTCTAACTGGGAGGAAGCATGCTATAAATCATAGACTCTGAAGCCAGCCTGACCTAAGTTTATTAGCTGTGGGATCTTGGAAAAGCCAAATAACATCTCTGCACTGTAGTTATCTCATTTTATAAATCTGACATGATGATATCTGCCTTGTGGTCTTGTTGCAAGATTGTTAGGAGGCTGTTTAGAGCCTACTCTGTGCCAGGCAGTCAGTACTTCCTAACTTTCAATACACAGACAGAGCACCTGGGGAATCTTGTTAAACCGCACACCCTGGTTCAGTCAGTCATGGGTGGAGCCTGAGGTTCTCCATGGCCAGTAAGCTCCCAGGTAAGCCCATGCTGCTTGGCCATGGACCACACATGGAATAGCAAGGGTCTCAATATCATTTGCAAAGTGCCTAACACAGTTAATGCTCAAGACTAATGCCTGTTTACCCCGGAATAATTCAATCACTCATTTTAAAGTGGGTGAGAAGCCCCTTTTCCACAGAAGTAATATCAGTCTGCCAATAGCTATGTACCCATACATATCCTTTACAAAATCCATCTTGGCCCCACAGGTGGCTCACACCTGTAATCCCAGCACTTTGGGAGGCAGAGGCGGGTGGATCACTTGAGGTCAGGAATTCGAGACCAGCCTGGCCAATATGGTGAAACCCCATCTCTACTAAAAATGCAAAAATTAGCAGGGCATGGTGGCACTAGCCTGTAGTCCCAGCTACTCAGGAGGCTGAGACAGGATAATCGCTTGAACCCAGGAGGCGGAGGTTGCAGTGAGCCGAGATCGTGCCACTGCACTTCAGCCTGGGCAACAGAGTGAGACTCTGTCTCAAAAAAACAAAACAAACAAAAACACCAAAATTCCATCTCATCACGATTGGCCATGGTTGGTAGTTTCTGAAGGCAGGTGATAAGTACACAGGCAGAGTTCATTTATATTATTCTCTTGACTTTTGTAAATATTCAAAATTTTCCATAAGAAAAATTTTAATGTAAGAAAGAAAACCCCAACAGAGGACTTTTAGGGCAGTGAAACTACTCCGTATGATGCTATACTGGTGGGTGCATGTCATTAAACATTTGTCCCAACCCATAGAATATATCACACCAACAGCGAACCCTAATGTAAACTGTGGGCTTTGAGTGATCATGATGTGTCAATGTAGGTTCATTGATTGTAACAAATGTACCAGTCTGATGAGGAATGTTGCTTGTGGGAGAGGCTGTGCACGTGGCGGAGGGAGGAGGGGAGTATATGTGAACTCTGTACTTTCTGAACAATTTTGCTGTGAACCCAAAACTGCTCTCAAAAATAAAGTCTACTAAAAAAAACACACAAAGAAACAAAAAACATCTGCTCTCTAGCAGCCTGAGAACAGCAGAAGATACAGGTTATCTAGTACAGTGATTAGCTGCAAAAACATGTTTATTAGGAGAGAGGGTGCTTTTGTTTAATAAATTGCATGCCTGGCTGGGTATGATGGCTGACACCTGTAATCCCAGCACTTTGAGAGGCCAAGGTGGGAGGATTGCTTGAACCTAGGAATTCAAGAGCAGCCTAGAAAACAAAGTGAGACCCCCCATCTCTACAAAAAGTAATAAAAAAAAATTATCCGGGCATGGTGGTGTGTGCCTGTAATCCCAGCTACTTGGGAGGCTGAGATGGGAGGATCACTTGAGCCTGGGAGGTTGAGGCTGAAGTGAGCCATGATCACAATACTGCACTGCAGCCTAGGCAACAGAGCAAGGCCCTGTCTCAGAGGAAAAAAAAAAGAAAGAAAGAAGGAGAGAGAGAGAGAAGGAAAGAAGAAAAAAAGAAAGAAGAAAGAAAAGAAAAAAGAGAAGGAAAGAAGAAAAAAAGAAAGAAAGAAAGAAAAGAAAAAAAAATCCATTCCTAACTGTACCTCCTGTGACTTATGATTGTGCAAAAGTAATTTAATGTGGGATTTCATCTGTGTGTATGCACGTGCGCCTGTGCCACATCTGCATTCTGCTTTCTATCCCAGAGGTTGGCAGTTTTCTTAACATAATCACACCTCACACTTCGTTTCGTCAAGAGAGATTTCACATTGTTTTTCTCTACCCTGGTGGACTAAAAAATCTGTCTGCATTCTTATGAAATCATTTCATTTATTCTTTTCTCTTTATCGAATCAAGCCTTTCCACCACCTACCTGGATCACATTCTGAACTGTCTAGCTTGTGTGTTTGTTAAGTCAGTGATTCACAAAGCAATCACCCAGCTAATTGGCAAACGTATTTAGTAAGCTGGACATTCCTCACCATCATCTTCCTTGAACTGACCCAGTTTCTATTAGGCGCTGAAGCTAACATAGCCCATGGTAAGTGTCACTTTAATTTGTTGACTATCTTCTGATTAACTAAGTGACGGGCAAATCACAGAAAAACTAAATGAACAAACTAAACAGCCAGCTTGAGTTTAGTCCATTTGCATTTTTGTTCTCTCGGTCATATAAAGCCTCTCCAAACCAGTGTCAATTTATTCCTCCTTTATCTGCCCATGGCTTGCTTACAGGGTCTTTGATGTGGTAACTGGACAGGACTGTCTTAACATCCTGTAGCTGGGTCAACTCTTTGTTATTCTGTTTGGTATTTAATCCCGGAGACTAATGTTCTGCTCTGGTATGTTGTTTATCACTTCCAGATTATAGGTGTAGCAAATACTTTCCTAATGAAATAATCACTAACTTGACATTCCACTTCTAGGATAATGCAGCTAGGCTGGCTGGGCCCCTCCATTTGAATCTTCTAAGATAACTCTGTGGTCCCAGTTCCTCCCACCCCCCAACTTCCTTTAGGTCTAAATTGTTCCTTTTAGGCATGCTTTCTCTAAATGGCAGGGTTTTAGGTACCACTTGAAATCTTCAATCTCTTTCATAATAGTCAAGTTTTGAAACCTTAGCATCTACTTCCGTGTGCGTGTGGAAACCCTGTAGGTATCACCTCTGCAGCTGCTATAGTCCTTCAACTTATTCGTTCAGTGAACGAAAATACCTGGGAGACACTCGTTTCCAGAATCTTTTCTAGAAACCTAAAGCTTCACAGGCCGACTTTGTACAGCTCCTTTCGAAATGAACTCGGGTGGCAGAACTGTGCTGGCCTAACGATTTCGTGGTGGCAGAAACACCTGCAGTGACGGATAATTGCAACTATTGCCATGTCTCTTGCTGTGTTTCCTGTTTGCTAGCTACCTTCAGGATGAATCATATTTGTTTTCACGATGACAATTACTTCTTTACCTCTTCTCTGATTAAATTTTGTGATACCTGTGGCCCCTTGGCTAGCTTAGTTCTTTCCTCATGAGCCTGTGTTCATCCCCATGAGTCACAGCAGTAAAGTTTTCTTCACAGCAGACAGGAAATAATGGAACACACAACAGTCTCATCTCCCTAGACATTATTTCAAAACAAATCTCACCTCGTGGCACATCCTTGCCTCTTCTTGTGAATCCAGCTCCTCTCTGTATGTGAATTAAACTTACCCTTCCAGAGCCAGCTCAAGCCCCAGGTCTCTGACTACTAATGAAACTATTATTGTTTCTACAGAAAAAAAAGTAAGAATATACAGGTTGAGCACCCCTAATCCAAAACTCCAAAGTCTGAAATGCTCCAAACTAAAACTTCTGGAGTGCTGACATGATGCCCTAAGTGGAAAATTCCACACCTGACCTCATGTGATGGGTCACAGTCAAAAGGCAGGTACGTAACAGTTTATTCAATGTCCCCAAGGGAAAAATAAAATTACCTGCTGGCTATGTGTATAAGGTATGTATGAAACAAATTTCATGTTTACAGATGGGGTCCTATCCCCAAGATAGCTCATTATGTATATGCAAATATCCCCAAATCTGAAAAACTTCCCAAATCTGAAACACCTCTGGTCCCAAGCATTTTGGATGAGGGATACATTTTGGATAAGGGATACTCAACTTGCATATGTTTTGCATAAAGAAACAAAGTAGCCTGGCCAACATGGCAAAACCCTGTCTCTACTAAAAATACAAAAATTAGCCAGGCATAGTGGTGCAAATCTGTAATCCCAGCTACTCAGGAGGCTGAGGCTGCAGTGAGCCGAGATTGCGCCACTGAACTCCAGCCTGGGTGACAGAGAGAGACCCCGTCTCCAACACTCAAACATACACACACACACACACACACATATATTTAAACTAATAAAAGGGGTCATTTGTAAGGCGCTGGGTGCACCGAGAGGGTGAGGAGTGATTTTTCACTCTATTTTCATTTTTGAAGCATATGATTGTTACCTATTCAAGAAGTTAAATTACAAAGTGACTTAAATCCCTTGGTAAATAAAGCTGCTATTATTTCACTGTTTCTACTTTTCCTATGTCAGTCACAGAAATATGAGACAACTTTAGGAAATAAGAGAGCTAAAACCTTAAGTTCCTCGAAGGTAAGTTAAATAAAATGTTTAAATCAATGTGAAGCTTAGGTCTCCATTTCTGTTTATTTTTTAAAGTAATTTCTGTTCTTTACAATGTTATTATACACACATACATACACGTATGTGCACTTGCGCACATGTGCACACACAGGACTTGAGATGGGTAAGTAAGAATAGCCTCCACACATAATTTCTACAAAGTTCAAAGTAGATTACATTTATGTGCTTTTCATTCATTACACAATGTACAGACATGATCCGTTTAATGACTTAGGCTCCTCACATGGTTAAACAGTGAGGATTTCCTATGGAAGACTAGACATAGAAGTTTTTAGAAGCGGAGACTATTTTCTGCAAAAACCAACCTCAGGCATACATTTGTGTTTGTTGCAGTGCATAAATTCATTCTGTAAAAAGATCTGAAAGATGATTTTCAAGAGACTCTTAATGCATTGTGCTTTCAGGTAAAAATCCTTAGACAAAAGATCAGTTACTATGACAGTAACAGTTAAAACTGCATATATGTGTTAGAGATCAGAAGAGGCTATAAAGAAATGTAAATAGTTGTGCTTAGGGGATTTTTTTTGGCAAAGTTGTCTTAATAATAAATAAAAACTTAAAAAAAAGTCTCAGTGACTGATATAAAATCGACACAGCTATGAAGAGTTTCCTACACTTGGCTTAGAGTTTAAAGGTGAAAAATCATCTCCACATAAATCACCTGGTATCTGGTAAGCCCAGTCTGGGCAAGTCAGGTGGGGAAGGGGCTTGGAAGAAAAGATAAAGTGATTTTTCCTTCCTGTTAACACAAAGCATTAACCAGAGGTAAAGCCAGGGTGAACCAACTAATTAAACAGATGCCTACCTTCCTTTAGAACTCTTAGACCAAAGAGAGAGGTCACCCTACTTCCATTAGGTTTTTTTAAAAAACCGCTATGATTCTTGGTGTCTGGACCACAACCCATTCTGTAATTCACAAGATTAATATGTCCTGTCTTCTGTGAGACCCTAGGATAAGCATGATCCCTTAGTACTTTATGCTTTGTTCCCCTCTACACATTAATGGTAAAACACTTTTAGAAACACCATGGCAACCGCTTATAATGATAGAGGGTAAGATATGATTAACATAATAACGCTGACGTTTGTAGCTAGGGAATAAATGTCATTTTAGTTTTAGGCCGGTCAGTTTGTTCTTTTAGTCCTGTAACTTCGAAGCAGACATGACCCCTAGCAATCAAAGTGAACTGGAAAAAAAGGGTGAGCAAATAACAAATGTTTTAAAGTCTCTTGCACAACAGGTATAGGTATAAAAAGAATTTCTTCAAATAATTTCCTAGGTGTCACTCAGAAGCATCCTTGCTGTCTGTAAAATAATGTTCTGCGGTCCTTCAAATTAAATTATAATTTAAAATATATATTATACATTTGCAATTACTTGAAATCATTCAATAGTTTGTAGCATGTTAATGGAGTGAAATAGAGATAAAAGGCAGTCCACATTCATATTTTCAAGATAGATTTACTTCAGAAGTCAACTGAAATCCTTGCTCATGTTCTAAGTATGGCCATTGTGATAAGACCTGAAAGAAAAAAAATGGAGAACAGTTAAAGATATGCATCTAATAGAATATTTCATTCAATAAGCAATTGTTTGGACCTCAGTGAACAAATAAAACATAGCACATAGGCAGGCACTCTACCAAGAACTCAAAGTCAATTTGAATTTTGTTGATATTATAAAGAAGAAATCCAATTTATAGCAATGGGCAGTCACTGGAGAGATTTAATTAAATCACTAATGTCTGGCCACAGCAAACTATCAAATATACCTCCTACTTTATTCAGTCACATCAGCCACAACAGCAGATGTGCCATTTTAAAGCATGGGTAAAGCCAGTCGACTTTGTTAACAGAAGCATCAAGAGTCTACCTGTATCCCAGGGCCCTAGGGCCACAAAGAGACAGAAGCATGGCATTCCTGCTTTGCTTCTTTCTTTTGAAGAGAGAATATATAAAATATAAAATAAGAATAAGAATATGCTCAGTCCTAAATGAAGGATGATGAAAGTGTGATTTAAAAAAAAAAAAAGTACAGAGACAGAGGATAATCACATGAGACTGGGGCAGTCAGAAAAGTTGCCCCCAATGATAAAAAGCTGCTTTACAAGATGGACAGGGGCCAGGCATGGTGGCTCACGCCTGTAATGCCAGCACTTTGGGAGGCCAAGGCAGGTGGATTACCTGATGTCAGGAGTTCAAGACAAGCCTGGCCAACGTGGCAAAACCCTGTCTCTACTGAAAATACAAAAATTAGCCGGGTGTGGTGGCGAGCACCTGTAATCCCAGCTACTTGGGAAGCTGAGGCAGGAGAATCCAGTGAACTGGGGAGGCGGAGGTTGCAGTGAGCTGAGATCCGGCCACCCACTGCCCTTCAGCCTGGGTGACAGAGCAAGACTATCGCAAAAAAAAAAAAAAAAAAAAAAAAAAAAAAAGACATGGACAGGAAAGAGAGAACGAGGAGATGGGCAGGCATTTCAGGTGAGGGAATGGCATGAGTAAGGGCCTGGAGAACCAGGCCTCTAGAGGAGCTTTTCCAGAATGAGTGAATAATCTAAAAGGCTTTAGGCAATGATTTACAGGAGGAAGCAGCTAGACAAATTTGGCTCAGAGAGGTCTCAGATTGTGGAGAGTCTTAAATGCCAAACTATGGCACTGAAGGTTATATACTTCATCGTATGGATTATGGGGAACCACGGAAGATTTTTGACTAGGGGGTGGTCGTGAGAGCAAAAGAGAAATAAATATGACAATATGATGGATGGTGGGGGGTGGGAATGAATGGGGGAAGAAAAAGAGAGAAGGAACACAGACAGAAGGTAGAGAGATCAAGAGAATCATCAAGAAGATGATTCTCAAAATAAAAGAGAGAGAGCAGCCAGGCCTGGTGGCTCACGCCTGTAACCCCAGCACTTTGGGAGGTCGAGTTGGGCAGATCACCTGAGGTTGGGAGTTCAAGATCACCCTGACCAACATGGAGAAACCCCGTCTCTACTAAAAATACAAAATTAGCTGGGTGTGGTGGTGCATGCCTGTAATCCCAGCTACTCGGGAGGCTGAGGCAGGAGAATCGCTTGAACCTGGAAGGCGAGGCTTGCAGTGAGCTGAGAATGCGCCATTGCACTGCAGCCTGGGCAACAAGAGGGAAATTTCGTCTCTAAATAAATAAATAAATAAATAAGAGAAAGCACATATGCCAGGGAATTCCAGCCTGGGCAACAAGAGCGAAATTTCGTCTCTAAATAAATAAATAAATAAATAAGAGAAAGCACATATGCCAGGGAATACCGAAAAGAGTTGGCATCTAAGCAAAGGTGAGAGGAGAACATGAGGAAAGTCATTCATCACCAGAACACTAATCCTCAACACACGGAAGGTACAGAATAAATATTTGTTCCATTGAAATAATTAACTCTTAAGATTTCAAGCCAGGATGACTGAAATAGTGAATCAACAGGAAATAAGGGAATTGGCTTAAAAAGTTCTGAACATGGTGCCTTCAAAAGTAAAGAAAAAATAACAATAAAAGAGAAAGGTTCACAATATTAAACAAGGCTGCATTATTCATCTTTATCACCACATGTACTTTGTTTCCCTAGGAGCAATTCCTAAAAGTAGAAATGCTGTATCATGGAATGCATGCGGTTTACATTTTATACATGTTTTATGACATTGTAAGTCGGCAAAAGGAAAATAATTGAATACAGTATCAGGTACTAGATAAATAAGCTAAAAAGAACTAAATGTGAGCTGAAAAAGTCTTCAAAGGCACCTGACCTCAACATGCTCTTGAAACATTTCTTTACCTGTTCTTCAGGAAAAAAAAAAAAAAAAAATCAAACCACCACCACCCATAAACACATAAAATCCTACACATATGTCCCAAATGCATCTTTAAAACCCTTACCTAAGATATAAGCAGCCACTAATTTTTGATTCACACTTAAGTGGAGGTAGAGAGGCACCAGCGATTCCACATCCCCCATTGTAGGCAGCATCAGGGCTGCAATGCACACCACTCCCAGGAAGACAGTTAGTAAACTAGGTCCTGAGGAGACAGCTCTGTTTTCTGTAAAAAGACAAAAATCCCTAAGCTTCCTTCTAAAAACTTTAAGACAAAAGTTCCTTCACATACACTGGCCGCCACTCACCAGAATTCTGATTTTGTCTAACTTCTCCGATTGTTTCCCCATCGTTTTCATCCGTCAGAGAGTTAACTGCTGGGCTGATGTGGAAGCCCATGTCTTAACTGGTCTGAATCATTGCAGGATGGAATGCTGACGTGGCATTGTGAGGTAGTGAGCTCTTACTGAAAGGTGGTCACCAACTCCCCCGACCATCCCACCCTAGTCAGTAGAAAGTATTCAAGCATGTATCATCAATGTATGCACATTTTAAAATTATATGCACAAGTTCTGTACTGTTAGGCTTAATATAAAACATACAAATAGATTTTTGGAAGAATGTGCTAAAAATAAATATAAATTGAAGTTCTGATATTTTCTTCCAGTACCCCAGTGGCTTGCCTGTGTATATTCAATTTGAGCCTGCCACACTAGACCTCCACTACCTTTTGGGAATATTTTAAGGAGCTCCCCAGATAGGTTTGATCCTAATAACTGTACATCCTGCTATCAATTTTGAAAATGTTAAGGAACCAAAAGTGTTTCCCTCTGCTCTAACCCATTTATAGCAAAGAAGAAAACAGCAGAAACAGTATCTGGCAAATACGCTAAGTGAAATAAGCCAGTCACAGAAGGACAAATACTGCATGATTCCACTTATACAGGAAATCTAAAATAGTCAAACTCATAGAAGCAGAGAGCAAAATGGTAGTTGCCAGGGGCTGGGGGAGGAGGATAATGCAAATTGCTAATCAATGGGCATAGGTCTCAATTATGTAAACTGAGTGAGTCCTAGAAATCTACTCGACGTTATCCCTCCATTTAACCAATATTTTATTGTACACAAACATTCATTAAGAGACTAGATCTCATGTTAAATGTTCCTAAAATAAAATTCTAAAAGATTTTTTAAAAAGGCCGGGCATGGTGGCTCACGCCTGTAATCCCAGCACTTTGGAAGGCCAAGGTAGGTGGATCATGAGGTCAGGGGTTTGAGAACAGCCTGGCCAACATGGTGAAACCCCATCTCTACTAAAAATACAAAAATGAGCCGGGTGTGGTGGCACGCACCTGTAGTCCCAGCTACTCAGGAGGCTGAGGCAGGAGAATCGCTTGAACTCGGGAGGTGGAGGTTGCAGTGAGCCTAAACTGCACCATTGCACTTCAGCCTGGGTGACAGAGCAAGACTCCGTCTCAAAAAAAAAAAAAAAAAAAATTAAAAATGTTATCACACCTGCTATTCTACAGTTCTGACTCTATTTGTATAGTATACATACCCATATTTTTAAGAAACCCAGTAACAGCATTTTCTTTCATACAGCTTTTCCCACTACCTTTCCTTTCATTAAAAGGAATAGCCAACAGCAACACAATCTTTGTGTTTCATTAATGAAATAATGCTGTTCATTCTATTATTAAATGGAACTTTTCTAAATTATTAATACCTTAGCTGTTGTGTGGCGTTAACTGAACTTCATCAGAGCCAGAGAGGTGAAAACAAATTCAAATTTTATAGTAATTATTGCTTGGAATGAAACAATAGCAGAAATACCTAAAAGAAAAACCCCAAGTCTTGTTTCAGTTAATAGAATACCTTTATAGTTATCTTTGTTGCAAGGATGAATTCTCAAGGAAAACAGTTATTTATGACAAGTACACCATTCACTGCAAACCCACAATAAAGGTAATTTCAAACAATTTTTAGTATTTAGAGAACATGTAGTATTTAGAGAAATTGGAATTTTTAGTATTCCAAAAACATTTACATAAATGCTTGAAATTTTTCAAAATGGAAAAAGCTTTTTTCCCCCTAGTACTACAGGATCGTTGTAAAATATGTTATAAAGATGTAGAAAACGTGAATGTTCCTCCGTAATTCCACCCTCCTAGAGCTAACACTGTTAGCAGCTTGGTATGTATCCTTTTAGATTTTACAAATACCCGTATAAACATGTAGGAGAATCTTTTACATAAATAAGGCCATATTATACATACTGTTATATAACTGGTTTTTTTTTCCTTACTTAGAAATATATTTGAAGCTCTTTATATGACAATGTATAAGCATTCATCATTCTATCAGATCCTCGTAAATGTCTGCCTGGCACACTACCTTATGAATATTTATAATTTAATCAATTCCCAATTGATGGACTTTTCAGTTATTTTCAATTTTTTTATTATTATAAACAATAATTAAGACTATACTTTACTTAAGCCAGAGGGTACTGACTCAAACATTATAGCATAGACATAGCAGTTCGTTAATAATGTAATTAAGACAAACCCACTAAGATTCAGATGTATCTTTTAAAATGGCTTTTTAATAACCTGAGCTCTAGTATTTTATGAAAGTATACTTAAATTTCTGTTGAATAAAAGAACTCACAAGATATACTTATGCACATAGGCAAGGTCTGGAAAGTAACATGGAACACTTATATAAGCAGATGTGTTAAGTGTGTGAGATTACAGGTACATTTTCTTATGTTATTGCTATATGTGTTTTATACAATAAACTTAAATTTTTCTCATTTTTACTGACTTTCAATATATTTCAAAATCCAAATTTTTCATAATGTAGCCATCAACCATTTTCCTGCTAAAAGTGAGTCTCACAACACTGTTGTACCTCTAATACTTTAATAATATGCATTTGTTGAAATATTCTCTAAGCTAAGGACTTGTAAAAGTAATGACATTTCAAAGCCTCCCAAAACAATCTCAATTAATTTTCAACATTTTAGTTCAGAAAAACTTAAAAACCTGAGTTTTCCACATGTTGGAAACTACATATAAATTCCTGTAAATTTAATAGACAGGAGACGAAATCAGTCATCATGATATTCTGTTAAAGAAGAAAACTTTACTCAACTTACTTCCAGGTTATTAGGCACATTGGGGTAACTACCCATAAATGGGACATGTTGGCCAGGACTGTGAATGGGGCTGTACTGTGGTATCACCCTTCCTCTAAACAGCTGTCATAGCCATGAAACCTTGTAAGCCAAAACAAAACAAAAAAACTCACCATTCCCACAGACCCTTAGCAGACCTGAAGTCCAGCCTTCCTAGCTCAGCTCATTTACAAATTCATTATGTAGCTTCTCTGTGCCAGGCCCTGTGCTAGGTACTGAGGATATAATAGTACTAGGAAAAGTACCTGCCTTCATTGAGCTTCCTTACAGGAATGGATTAGAGAATTTTTTCCCCCAAAACAGAGATCACCATGTGTTATGCTAGCATCACCTATCCTCATTCATCTGCCTACTCCAATTTTATAATTAGAAAAACTCTCTAATACACTTTAGACACCAAGGTTTGTTAGAAAAATGAAATAAGGCCGGGTGCGGGAGCTCAGGCCTGTAATCCCAGTACTTTAGGAGGCTGAGGCAGGAGGATTGCTTGAGGCTAGGAGTTCAAGACAAGCCTGAGCAACATAGTGAGACCCTGGGTGTGGTAACGAGCACCTGTAGTCCCAGCTACTCGGGAGGCTGATGCAGGAGGATTACTTGAATCCAGGAGTTGGAGGCTGCAGTGAACTATGATGGCACCACTGCACTCTAGCCTGGGCGACAGAGACAAACCCTTTCTCAAAAAATAAAAAATAAAACAAAATAAGACAATACATACTATAATTATTTAGCCTCTTAGCATGATCTTCACCTGAATTTTAATAAATTTCACAATAAGAGGAATAAAGTTCTCCTTACATATATTTACATACACATATACCCTAAACCTTACTCCTTATTATTCCTTACTCCAGATTGGTTTTTTCTGTTAAATACAAAACTGAACTTCAAAGACTATTTTAAATTACAAGTGTAACTTCAAAAAACAAATACAAATTAAATGGCCTTTCTTATACCAGAGGAAGCATTTTAAAAAGGGAATCTTGCATTTCACAACTACGTTAACTTTACAATATTGATCTGACAGAGTGACACTGGACAAAGGTTCTCTTTCAGCTTCAAAAGATGAAAAGCTGGTCCTGTCAGTTGATACTAATTGGTCAGAATAAAACAATCCACTATAGGTTGGTGCAAAAGTAATTGCGGTTTTTGCGATTAAAAGTAATGGCAAAAATCGCAATTGCTTTTGCACCAACCTAATAGCTACTACCTAGTCACTAGTCCTGGTATTACCAGAAAATCTAGATGGTCCCTAATGGACTAGGAAGAGACTCTTAGCTACATTAAATCAAAGAGGCACTACTACTTCCTGTTATTGAAATAAACATTCTTTTTTTTTTTTTTTTTTTTTTTTTTTTGAGACAGAGTCTCGCTCTGTCACCCAGGCTGGAGCACAGTGGCACTGGCTCACTGCAAGCTCCACCTCCCGGGTTCACACCATTCTCATGCCTCAGCCTCCCGAGTAGCTGGGACTACAGGTGCCCACCACCATGCCCGGCTAATTTTTTGTATTTTTAGTAGAGACAGGGTTTCACTGTGTTAGCCGGGATGGTCTCGATCTCCTGACCTCATGATCCACCCACCTTGGCCTCCCAAAGTGCTGGGATTACAGGCGTGAGCCACTATGCCCGGCGGAAATAAACATTCTAAGATGAACAAACTGATATGACTGAGTGTAACAGCAATTAGATTTTTTTAATCCTTCATAAAATGTTGCAATTTCAAGGACAGCTGCTATCATATTCATGTATCGGTATCACCATCAAAAAGTTTCCAGTTTCCCTGTTTTTCTATGGAAAATTTTATCTTCCTTCTACTACAACAGGTTTAGGAGGAGATAATGAGAAGTTAAGAAGATGGGGTAATGACATCCAAAGAGTTGAATATGAGGGTAGTGTCAATGTTGAAAGAATATATCATAACACTTCTGAATATCTAAGCTGGAAGGAAATGAGGGCTGGAGAAGGATTCAATTAATAGCCCACAGGGGATATTATAATCTACTTAGTTTAATTAACTTCAACTTTAATGAGATTTTTTTTTTCAAAATAATATGAACAGTGCACTAAGCTTGGCCTATTGCCAAACACAATCTCTCTCTTCCTTGGAACTAATTAAATGAGAAAGGATATAGGAAAGTCATGGAAACAGAAGTATAGAACTGCCAAATTTACTAGCTTCATAAAGTATGGTGCCTGCAGTCTTAGATATGTTTATGTTTATGTTTAAATACAGATATATTTAAAAGGCTACAGCAACATCTACCCTCTCCTTACAGCCTAGTCCAGTGAGGGGTATTCCCTCCTCTCAAAATCCACCTCCAGGCTTCTTGTTCTACTTAAGGTCCCTGATTCTCTAGGTTCAGTTTTAAAGTAGTTGACCATGTTTGAAATGGTAGATGATTTTTCTAGTAATTATTCTTAGCTGCCTGATTATTTTAAAGTTAATAATGTGTAAGACATCAAAAGGGCTTTAAAAACAACCCCAAAACTACCTGGTTGAAACGACTGCTCAAAAAATAAACTTTCAGTTAAATGTTCCTTTATTCTTTTTTCCTCTTCTTCCTTTTGTTGTTCTTTTGCTGATGGGAGAAGAGTAGCAACAACCTCTTTTCTTCCCAAAGCCTTCCTCTGGCTTTGCTCAGAAACTTGAAGACGGAATTTGTCTATTACACCATAGTGACAGGATCGAACATCTCTATGACGAATCACACTGAAAACAGCAAAAATAACAAATGCTGTTTAGATTTCTGGGGGCCAGCCAAACAGAATGCAGTGAGATATTTTAATATACTGACTACAACCAAATACTCAAAAACAGAAATTTGCTAAGATGTTAAAAAAATGAGTAATTCGGAAATGAGTAATTCAGAAATATTAGATGAAAGCACATAATCTGAAACACAGAATAAAAGTCTTAAGCAAAAAAATAACAGGTAAAGAAAATTCCTTTTTGGTCAGGTACAGTGGCTCACACCTGTAATACCAGCACTTTGGGAGGTTGAGGCCAGGATCACTTGAAGCCAGGAGTTTGAGACCAGCCTAAGCAACACAGAGACCCCGTCTCTACAAAAAAATTTAAAAATTAACTGGCTTGGTGGTGTGCGTGTAGTCCTAGCTACTTGGGAGGCTGAGGTAGGAAGATCCCTTAAGCCCAAGCCCAAGAGCTTGAGGCTGCACTAAGCTATGATCGCTGCCACAGCAAGAGAGCAAGACTGTCTCATTTGAAAAAAAAAAAAAGGAAAGAAAATTATCTTTAGCAATGACTTTTTTTTTCTGGATATCTCAGTGCAGCAACATTTACTAAATAGAAATATATGCAATTGTTTATTCCCCACAAACATCTCATAAATTTCCATTTCTACTTACTTATTGTTTAGGCAACAAACCTCACCCTACACTTAAAATTGAATCCCATGCATGCAGGTAGAAACAAGCAATTGAATAAGTAAGTAATCCACTATTACCAGTGCAACAGAAGGCCAATAATACACCTCTGCTTCTCTGAAGAGAAAAGAGTATACAGCACTGTAATTTTATTTTATTTTTTGAGACAGAGTTTCACTTTTGTTGCCCAGGCTGGAGTGCAATGGTGTGGTCTCTGCTCACTGCAACCTCTGCCTCCTGGATTCAAGAGATTCTCCTGCCTCAGCCTCCCCAGGAGCTGGGATTACAGGCACCTGCCACCATGCTCAGCTATTTTTATTTTTATTTTTATTTTGTATTTTTAGTAGAGATGGGGTTTCACCATGTTGGCCAGGCTGCTCTTGAACTCCTGACCTCAGGTGATCCTCCCACCTCAGCCTCCCAAAGTGCTGAGATTACAGGCGTGAGCCACTGCACCTAGCCAAGCACTGTAATTCTTATGAGTTTTCTGCAATTCCATTTATTTTGTTCTTATCAGGGAACACAAAACAATTAGGTCAAAGATAACACATTTATTTGGCAAGAGACTACATTTCTTTGTAATAGCTCTTGCTTATTGTGTACTGAATGAAAATTTTTTAAAATGTGCAGAAACATTCTCAAAGATACATCATTTTATGGCTTTGAGCTGGTGAAAAAGTATTCAAAAGAAAAGAATTCTGCTTCTCATTCTCACAGAAGATTTAAACAAATACAGTGTACTTGGTAGCTTAAAATTAAGGGCTGGTCAATGGATCCATCTGGTCACCACTAGTTCTAAAATAAAAATTAAATATGAACAGCTTGAACAATCATTTATCTGACACTCTAAGATGAAATTATCTGGAAGAGCTCAAATAATACTTTACAGATGAGTGGTTACACAACTGCTTCCTGTTTATATAGATTAACTTCCAGGCTTTTAGTTGAATCACTTCAGATGAACTTATATTACCATTGTTCTTAGACAGTAGTATTATAGTTTTCCAAATAGCAGCATGTTCCAAAGAAAGCTAAATCCCCTATCATAGCTGGAGAAATTTAAAGGAATAAGTCAGAACTTTACCTTTATACATCCCTGGTATGACTAAAACCACAACAATGAGAAAATGTTCACGGAGATACTAACACATACATGAGCTCCAACAATTTGAAATATTATTAAGTATTTGGCCGAATCTCTTCGAAACAATTTTAATAGACAAATTTTCAGCAAAAATTCAAGATATAATAAATGCCTATGTGAGAACAGCTTCAAGAAAATATCTTTTTTTCTCAAGTTAAAAACATAAATATTAACACACTTAAAACGTGTTACCAAGAAGTGATCTTGACTTACATATCCACACAACACTGAGGCTTTACTGCACCTGCAGCATCAACGACAACATACTTATTTGGAGTAGTACACAAAACTGAAAGAAAAAGTCACAATGGCCATTAGTGGTTTTTTTTTTTTTTTTTTTAATTAGTTTCTACAAGTAAAAAATTAGTAGGGAGCAGTTAAAAACCCAGAAAATAGAGCTAGGATACTCACCTTTGAACTTTAAGGCAAACTCATAGGGATTGTACAGTGTCAACACTTGCTTATGTGTTGACTGATCATCTGCATAAAATATGAGCTCCGTGGGGAACACGAAAACAGGAAGATTTCCTTCCACTAACTCTGGCTGTCTTTTTTGTTGATGCATTGGCACTGAATCCCCCTTGCTGCAGTTTCTGTTTTTACAGTCTCAAATCTATTTTGGACTTTTCTTAGATTCAGTTAAAAACTCCAAAGCATTTTGGCAATCTAGAAATAGAAGAAGAAAGCGAGAAGTGAATGATCCCAATTTTCATTAATCTATAGCCCCTACACAAAAAGCATATTTAGCATGCATTAAAATAGGCCCCCAAATCGGCCGGGTGCAGTAGCTCTTGCCTGTAATCCCAGCACTTTGGGAGGTCAAGGCAGGCAGATCACTTGAGGTCAGGAGTTCCAGACCAGCCTGGCTAACGTGGTGAAACACTGTCTCTACTAAAAATACAAAATACAAAAATACAAAATCGAAAATGCAAAAATTATAGGCGGGCGGATCACAAGATCAGGAGATCGAGACCATCCTGGCCAACACGGTGAAACCCCATCTCTACTAAAAATAGAAAAATGAGCCGGGCGAGGTGGCGGCGCCTGTAGTCCCAGCTACTCGGGAGGCTGAGGCAGGAGAATGGCGTGAACCCGGGAGGCGGAGCTTGCAGTGAGCCGAGATCGCGCCACTGCACTCCAGCCTGGGCGACAGAGCGAGACTCCGTCTCAAAAAAAAAAAGAAAATACAAAAATTAGCCGGGTGTGTGGTGACACACCTGCAGTCTCAGCTACTCAGGAAGCTGAGGCAGCAGAATCGCTTGAACCTGGGAGGTAAAGGGTGCAGTGAGCCGAGATAACACTGCAGCACTCCAGCCTGGGCTACAGAGGGAGACTCCGACTCAAAAAAAAAAAAAAAGTCCCCAAATCACTTAAACATGCCTTTTGACTTTTTACCTTGACTTACTTATATAGCTTTTACCAAATTATGCAAAGAAGTTTATACATGCTCCTTTCATATTGAGGATTTCAACCTATGATTAATAATCTAAATACTCAAAGAAATAAAGAAATCTTTCTCAAATTAATGACCTCCTTTCAAAGAGGTGAGATCAAAGGGATATCGCTCTTCTTAAACCTCAGATTTTTTAAAAAGTAGAATAAATTAAGTATCGTCACAACTGATTTTGCATGAGTCCAGCAGAATTCTTAAAGACTAAAAAATAAACACAAAGTAAGTTTCCATGATTTCTGAAGAAAACCATGAGAATCACTTTTACGCTCGTGTCAACAATACTTTATTTAGTGCCTTCTTGGCAGCATGGGTGGGAGAGTTCTTTTAATCTTTTTTCTGCTGAAACCAGAAACAAGCTAAAATGTCTTGAAAGGAGGCCGAATGACCACACATGCTAAGCAGTCCTTGGAATTTTTTTATGAAAATGTGTAGTCAGTAAGTAGGGCTTTGGCATGTGAGTGGCACTGTGCCTCTCCCTCCTACATCAAGTACACATGCTTTGTGAGAGCTATTCTCCTCCAACTTCAGAGGCTTTTTTAGATTCCCTCTGGGTTCTTGAATATGTTCCAGATAGCTGTAACTGACAGAAGTCTGAATGCTTGTTAAGTGTGATGTTTCTGTATTTATTTCCTAATCTCACTTTAATCAATATTCTTATTTACCAAGCACACCAAGTGTGCCTTTTTTTTTTTAAGAGACAGGGTCTCCCTATGTTACCTGGTTGGATTTGAACTCCTGGCCTCAAGCAATCCTCCTGCCTCAGCCTCCAGAGTAGCTGGGACTACAGGCGTGCCCCCACAATTGAAACATAACTTTTAAAAATAAAATGCAAAAGCTAAAATGTACAATCAGAGAAAATATCTGATTTTTACCCTGTAGATCACACCTTTAAAATAGACTATAAGCCATTTAACAATTTCAAATTCAGGTTCTCATGCATTCAAAGAGAAACAAAACAAATGAATGAATTATTTGGTTTTACCAGCTGCGGAGGCTCACATGCTCTGATTCTGATAGAGGCCTTTCCAACTTCTATCAAATAGGAGCTATATAGTCATGTATGCAAATGTTTATTCTTTTCTTTCAGCTGGGTATCTATTATATACCAGGAACTATGTCAGAAGCTGAGCAGAGATACAAAGATGAATAATACACAGGCTGTACTCTCAAAAGTTCAAGTCTAATTGACAAGCAAAAATATTGAAGCTACCTCTATTATAATAGATGCTTATAAGCCTATCATGGTATATATGGTGCTAGAGAATCAGAGGACTACATAAATAATTCTACCTGTAAGAAAGGCCAGGAGTTGGCTGAGCGCAGTGGCTCACGCCTGTAATCCCAGCACTTTGGGAGGCCGAGGCGGGTGGATTACTTGAGGTCAGGAGTTTGAGACCAGCCTGGCCAACATGGTGAAGCCCTGTCTCTACTAAAAATACAAAAATTAGCCAGGCATGGTGGCAGGTGCCTGTAATCCCAGCTACTTGGGAGGCTGAGGCAGGAGAATCACTTGAACCCGGGAGGCAGAGGTTGCAGTGAGTCAAGATCACGCCACTGCACTCCAGCCTAGGCAACGAGAGCGAAATTCCGTCTCAATAATAATAATAATAAAATAAATAAATAAATAAATAAATAAATAAAACAAAAAACCAAAATGCTGACAGACCTCCTGCCTCCTAGTCCAGTATTCTTTCCACTATACTGTCTGTGCACTTCAATAAAATAAAACTAAGGCTAGATGCGGTGGCTCATGCCTGTAATCCAAGCACTTTGGGAATCCAAGGTGGGAGGATTTATTGAGCCCAGGAATTTAAAATCATCCTGGGCAATACGGCAAAATCCTGTCTCTACAAAGGATACAAAAATTAGCTGGGGGTGGTGGAACATGCCTGTAGTCCCAGCTACTCAGGAGCCTGAGGTGGGAGGATCATCTGAGTCCAGGGATGTTGAGGCTACAGTGAGCCATGACAACGCCACTGCACTCCAGCCAGGGTAACAGACTGAGATTCTGTCTTAAAAAAAAGAAAATAAAATAAAACAGAACTAAGATTATCAAGTTCCTGGGTTTATAGAAAAAAAATACAAAACTAAGATTATTCTAAAAGCCATCCGATTAAAGAATTATAATTTTCCATTTTTATTTCTTCTACTCAAAAGCATACACATTTCTATTGGGATAATATGCTCTCAGAAGTTTGATGTGTTCTCTCTTTTTTTTTCAATAAAAAATGATAAATAAGCTGTATAATTACTATCTTAGGAAGCATTAGGAAGAGAACATCCAAATTTGGCATCACAAAATTATATGCACCATCTCATTCTAAAATTCTGTCGAGATGAGAATTTAATTTAGGATAAAAAGTGGTATCTCTGATTTGTGAAGGATAGATTAATCAATAAATGTTAGCTGAATCAGGTATCTATCTAGAAAAAAAAAATTTATCCTTCACTCCTTAATCAGGGAAAATTCTAAACAGATACAAGTTTTTTTTTTTAAAAAGTAAAATTAAAAAAAAAATAAAGTCATAAATATTCTAGAAGAAACAATGAGGAAAAAAAACAAAAAACCTCAGGCTTTCTAATAATGACGTAAAAACAGAAACCAAATTGTTTTTTTTCACTTAGAAATTGTCCCTGGCCTGGCGCAGTGACTCATGCCTGTAATCCTAGCACTTTGGGACGCTGAGGTGGGAGGATCACGAGGTCAGGAGTTCGAGGCCAATATGGTGAAACCCTGTCTCTACTAAAAAATACAAAAATTAGCCGGGCATGGTGGTGTGTGCCTGTAGTCCCTGCTACTTGGGAGGCTGAGACAGGAGAATCACTGGAACCCAGCAGGCAGAGGCTGCAGTGAGCTGAGATCATACCACTGCACTCCAGCCTGGGTGACAGAGTGAGACTCCATCTCAAAAAAAAACAAAAAACAAACAACAAAAAAAAAGAAAGAAAAGAAACTGTTCCTGAAGGCCGGACTTGCTCGGTGGCTCACGCCTGTAATCCCAACACTTTGGGAGGCCAAGGCAGGCGGATCACAAGGTCAGGAGTTTGAGACCAGCCTGGTCAACATGGTGAAAACCTGTCTCTACTAAAAATACAAACATTAGCTAGGCATAGTGGCGTGCGCCTGTAATCCCAGCTACTCGGAAGGCTGAGGCAGAGAACTGCTTGAACCCGGGAGGTGGAGGTTGCAGTGAGCGGAGATTGTGCCACTGCACGCCCGCCTGGGCAACAGAGCAAGACTCTGTCTTGGGAAAAAAACAAACAAACGAAAAACTGTTCCTGAAGACAGAAATAAACAGAAAATGATAAATTCGTCTGTATAACTTTTTAAACTCTGCATGGCAAAAAAACTTTATAAGCAAAGCCAAAGGAACATTTGCAATTCATATCACAGGCAAGTTTCCCTACTATATGGAGGGCCTACATATTACTGAGAAAAAGACAACTCAATATAAAAGTATATTAAATTATTGTTTGTCAATTAAAACTAAAACAAAAAATTAGTAAACTATAATATTTCATAGAAAAGGGACATAAAAATTGTCCTTGAACTTACAAAAGGATGTTTAACCTCACTCACAGCAAAGGAAATCCAAAATAAAGCCATACTATAATACCACAATTTTTTACCTATCCCATTAGTAAAACTCAAATTTTGACAGCATATGATGGGAGCAATCAAGCATGTGCTTACATTCCTTGTGGGGGATTGTACGTCTAGGGATTATATTACCCTTGTGTGAAGTCATGTAGGTGAAAGGTTTCTCTGCAGTGCTGAGGGTTAAATAAAATGATTTATGTGAAACAATATGGAACAGAACTTGGCACCCAGGAAGAGCTAGTTTTTTGTTGTTAATAGCAAAAGACTGGAAACAAGCCACACGAGGTGGCTCACACCTGTAATCCTAGCGCTTTGGGAGGCCGAGGCGGGCAGATCACCTGAGGTCAGGAGTTCGAGACCAGCCTGACCAACATGGTGAAACTCCATTTCTACTAAACATACTAAAATTAGCCGGGCGTGGTGGCGCACACCTGTAATCCCAGCTACTCAGGAGGCTGAGGTAGGAGAATCACTTGAATCCGGGAGGTGGAGGTTGCAGTGAGCCGAGATCATGCCACTGCACTCCAGCCTGGGAGACAGAGTGAGACTCCATCTGAAAAAAAAAAAGAAGATTTCAAACAGCTCAACTGTCCATTAAAAGAGGATTCATTA